CGAGAGATGTGAGTGGCGCAGTATGATCTGGGGTCTTGGAGTTGGAAAGTAAAGCGAGGGGTGTCAACTTGGTTGTAGGGTTGTCGCGACGACCGATGGTGCTGCTGGGCGTAGCAGGGTTCTCGTTAGGAAGAGACCATAGTCGCAAGTGGTCACCCGAAGTCGCGAGCAGGTCAGTAGACTGCTTCTGCGACGAGGGAGGCTCCCATAGCAAGCGCGTCACAGGATAAGAGTGGGTAGCTTCGGCAGCCTTGGTGAACTCGAGGCTAAATTTAGATGACCCAGGTGTGTAGACATCTTGGGGCGTAGGCGTAATGTGGCTATCGAGGATTTGGATCTATAAGAGTCAGCGATTGCATATGATCAATTGCACGTTGAGACGCACAAAGTTGTGACCATCTTCCAGGTAGCTCCCCACAGCTAACTTGCCAGCACCATTACCCTGGGCAGGCCATTTGCACCAGTCGAAAGCGTAAATGGCCCACGGCGCGAGGTAATTGCTTGTTCCTGGCTGAGCGCTATTGGCGTCATAGCCCATAGAAGCTCCATGGCCATCGGACATGCTCGAGTCGGCGCGGGGACGGATATCAGCCAGGCCAAGCGGGGTGTTGGAGATGGTGCGCTGGGAACCTGGAGCATTGTATCTGGCGGGATCGATTGGAGACATTAAATGCGAGGATGAAGCACCGCTGGGAGTAGTGGGCGTGTATGCGTGGTAGTTGGAAGAACCATCGTAGCCAGCGGCTGGGCTGGAGCGGGAATAGCTATGAGACATGCCTAGTGGTGGTTTGCTCGCGGCGGCGGCAGAGGGCGAGTTGGAATAGTCGTGGGAAGGCTGGCCGTGCTGAGAAGGGATCTGCAGCGGCTGCTGTGAGTGATGGGGATGCTGCTGGTGTTGACCTTGCGTCGGCGGCTGGTGAGGAACAGATGAGGCAGCGGGAGAGGATTGCTGCATCGGCGAGGACAAGTTGGGCGAGGCTGGGGCGCCGCGAGCGGACAGGCCACCGGCGGGTTGGAGGACGTTGGGCACCGAAGAGTTGGAGGGGTTCCTGTAGTGGAGGTTTGAAGGCGAAGACTCGAACTTGATCTGAGGAGGGTTCTCGTAGTCTTGAGGCGACATGGAAATTGGACCACCAGTTTGGCTCAAGCCCGACATGTGCAATTCGTCGTGCTGGGGCTGGGGTTGAGGGCCGGATCCAGAGCCAGAGCCAGAGCCAGCGCGAGGAGCAGACGCAGATGCAGAAGACATGGAGCCCACCTGCGCCTGACGCAGTGAAGGAGGGAACTGCTGTGATTGGCTCATTGCTGGATACTTTGGCTGTTTCTCGGCTTAGTAGCTCGGGGCCTCTGTTTGACGGACCTGGCCTGGGGGCTGATTGACTCGACAAGCCTCAGGTGGCCTGGCGCGCGAACGGCAGCAACGTTGAGCGAGGATGAGTCTGAGGAGCGAAATGTATGCGATAGTGCAAGACGAGGGTAGTCGTTAATAAAATCGAGGTGGAGCAAAGAAGTGTCCCTTACGGCTCAACTGGCTCGCGGGCGTCGGCAGTTGGTAAGCCAAAAGATCAGCAGAAGTCGCGGTGCTTCAAGTTCCCGTCGGTTCAAGCAGAAGTCCGAGGGTGAGGCTTCAGGATGTTGGCCTGTGAGAGCAAGGTAGAAGAAGCGGAAATTTTGACGAGATGCAAGAAAGAATGCGACATGGAAGGTTCCTCGTTCGCGCAAGCAAGGTTTCGGTCTGGTCTGGCCCGGTCTGGTTCGGTTTGACTTGGAGAAGGGCGGAGGGGTTAGTGAAAAGTTGCCGGCTGATGGTAGTAGTCTTTCGTTTAAGCAGAGGATTAGGCAAGCAAAAAAATATTATTCTTGAAGGATTCAAATGATGTAAGGCTTCTTTGAAAATATCACTATTTCTGAGTTTGAAACTCGGACACGGTTTGCACTGCATGAATATGAATAACTCACTAGAGGGCGCGAGAAATTTGGAAGCTTCGAACCCCTTGACGAAACTTGCATTTGTAGATCTCAGAACCCTGGTCTACTATATTTCGTGACTGGCCGAGCCAGAGTAACTTGGATATCGCTTATGAAGCTTTCTCCGAGCAAGCTACTTTAGGAGTATAGTATGTGGTGCTAATAAGTTACTTTTTGAGTCTAGAGCTTGACTTTGGTGATCTTAAGACATCTGGTCGGTTCACGCAGTAGGCCTTATACGTTTCGAGGTTACCGTAAATTAATATACACTACAAAGAATACTCAATTCAATGACTGGAGAGATGGCAAGTTTCTGGTGTCTCTCCATAGTGCGAACTGAGCTTCAAGTTGAAGCTATCATCAAATATTCAACAGATGATTGACCTTCATCACATGGAGATAAGCCCGTGACGCGGTTGTGGTACAGATCCACTCCCCGCCCTGTGGATCGCGGGAGCTCATGGCCAGGTGCACCCCAGAGCAGGTGGGCACATGCCAACCCCAGATCGTGTCCAAAGCTTCCATCCAGTCAAATAAGCTTCATCGAGCTCTTCTCTTATGATCACTGCCAACGACTTGAACAACTCATCACAGTTTACACAACACTTACCACCGCGAATACTGATATACTTCAACTAATGTGAAGCACTGCGACTGCAGACTCCACAGCTATAAAAGCTTCAAGCCGTGTCTATCCGAAATCGAGCGAATGTTTGCGACAACTTCAATACTGCGACAACTCTCATCATTTTCATACCCGATCCCAACGTGTCTATATTTATAAACGAACATGTCTTCTCCCTCTATCCTCGATCGTATTTCCAGTCCATCTCAGCGACTCCTCAACAACCCACTCCGTAGCCCTCCTGTTCGAGAAGTCAGCGAATATGACTTAGACGAGCTCGAACCCAGAAGTGAGGACCCTCTCTTCGACCAGGAACCTCCGCGCCCGAGACTTAGAAAGACGGCTCAGCCAACCTCTACCACATCGACCCGGCGATCTTCATCACCTGCTTCGTGGGACAGCAAGCATCGTTATGAGAATTCCCCCTCTCGAAGAAAATCGAAGGTTATCTTCGCAGGGCCACCACCTCCAATCGCTTCCTCAGTCTTGATTAACCAAGATCCCACACGGCAGTCAGTTTCCCCGAATCACAGCGATAGCGGGCGAGGGTTTGGGTTACTTTCGCCAAGTCGCTTTGGGTTGAGTGACAGCCCGAGCCAGAAGCATTTAGATAATCGCCCACGTCTCGACTCGATATGGAGAAGCTTACAGCGACGAGAAAAGGCTTTGGAACGAGACATCCAACAACTTTTAGACCTCCAAGCGTCAGGATTGGTTGCTGGTAGCGGAGATGGGGGTTCCGAAAGCAACTTTGGGAGCGATACTGGTACTGGGGAGAGTACATTTTATTCGACGGCTACGTCGAAATCACGAATGATGAACTCATTACATATGCCGGTACGCTCTGCGCCAGATGGAAGTGTTATACCCGTGCGACAACCCGCTCCAAGCAAGCCACGCGGCCTCAGATCAGCTCGAGCCGGTCTCCAGCGAGCTATGGCTGCTTTATCGGACTTGAAGGCGGAGGAGAATTCGCATCTGAACACGGCGCTAGAACAACGGAAGGATGTTCTGGCATATCTTGACAAAATGAGCAAGAGGAGGGACGATATATATGCTGAGCTTCATGCCTTGGAAGACGATGAAGAAGAACCTTTGGGCCAGGAGCTCCGTGAGCTTGGGGCCGAACAGCAGGCTCTGGATCACGACATACGAAATCTAGAAGAGAAACTAATTGCAATGCGAAACCGGCGCAGATGGGTGCGAGAGAAGATAGAGGATGTCAAGAATCGACGAGAGGCTGGCCTTAGTGGGTACAGAGCTGCTGGTCGAGACGTGGACACAGAAGTAAGGGCACTGATACAAAGACCGCCTGTTACACCGTTGGATATAGATGCTCTCGGCGCCAGTGCAAAATCTCGGTCTAAGGAGAATACTGATATGCTGCGAGGTACCGAGTTTCTGCAGCTCAGACCAGAGCGCAGGACTGTAGAAATGGCTAGAACGTGGTGGCAAGGAGAAATCGCTGTGCTTGAGCGTCGCAAGACCCAAATATCAGAAGACCGCAAGGCTTTGATTGAAGGGTCCGAGGTTTGGTCTGAAGTTACAGGGCTTGTCGCACAATTCGAGGCGAGATTGCGGGAACTGATCAAAGCCAGCCAAGCGGGAGATGCTGACGAAGAGCCACAACAAGCCGCGATACGGGATCAGTTGTCCCAGATGGACACTGTTGTTGAAGAGTTGGAAGAGCGATTGCAAGTGGCTGAATCAAAACATTGGAATCTCCTCATATGCGCGATCGGCGCAGAGCTGGAGGCGTTCCTCGAGGCCAAAGGACTCCTGAGAACGCTTGGGATAATCCCAGATGAATCGGTCACTACAGAGGATCACCCAGAACACAATGGAACACAAGATGGTACGGAGGGAGACGCCGAGGAGCTGCCTGAAGAAAGTCACGATGAGAGCGATAACGAAGTTCCCGCTGACCTGTTGGTATCTCGGCTTGAGGACCACGATCGTGATCCTCCGGACAGCCCTCAACAACAGAGCGTAGTCTTAAGAAGGGTCAGCTCTGAGAACGAAGTTCCGGCTGAGTTTCTGGCAGAACACACAGAACCAACCAAGATCGACTAGGATGAAGAGTTTGGGACGTTGATTAGGCTTATGAATAATGACAAGGGATGAGTGGATTCAATGAACTCGGCTCAGGTTGCTGGTTATTCCCAGAGCAAGTCACGACAGCAGGATAGAAGCTCATGGGCTTAATTGAATATCAGTATCATTGATCCAATTCACATGCATTGTTAGTCATATATCCGAACGCCTATCTGAAAACCCAGCGCGTCGAACGCATATCAGGTAGCTTTGGCCATTTCCTCCGCGCGATCGTTAAGTCATTTTTGAAGTCATTTGCAGCTGTAAAACTGAGTGGGAAATCCATAGCTTAAAAGGGTGTCGTCCTAGTCGCTCATCGGGTTCGCTCAAAGTAGCCGCTGGAGCCTGCGATCGCGACGGATTGATCCATGACCCATTCTCCGACACCGAGGTATCTATCGATCCAGCCGGTGAATTCCTTGTTCTCACCGGCGACCTTGTCAGTCTTGAAACTATCGTTTACTGTTAGATGTGTCGGAGAGTAATTCGGAGGGTTTAAGGCTCACGTCAGGCCGGTAGATCGCTTCATGCCGGCGAGGAAGGCCGAGACTGTTGCAGTGTTAGTTTCACGCTGTCACGGCGACAAGAAGGGAAGTATCTTGGACTTACAGAGAACGGCGTCAAAGGCATAGTGTGTCAACCGTCCGACCTTTGACCAGAGTCCCAGAGTCAGCAGGTTGAGGAGCTGTGAGAGGAGTCTTTAGACTTGCCAGGCCTCACGGGCAGAGCTCCAGGGGGGAACAGGGGGAAAGGAGAGAGAGGGTACATACCACCATGATGTAAGTGTTTGCAGCGGAAGAATTGTAGAGTGTCGATTGGTGTTGGATGATAGTCGCGGTGTGAAGCGTCGTGAATGGAGTCGTTTTCTGGATCTAACCTTGGTCTAGCTTGGTCGTCATGCGACACAGACACAGCCGCGGCGGGAACCAGGCGATAGTGGAGACTCCGGCGTGCCGGCGCCGAAAGCTCCGGGGTAGAGCCACATCACGTGTTTCTTATGGCCCAGGCATCTGGATCTGTTGCAAGTGGATGTTACAATGCAAAACATTGTGAGATGTTAGACGTGTCATGAGATGATATTATTGGCATCTGCATCATGGATTTTCTTCTTAAAATAACTAGACTCGAAATAGAATGGCAGATCTGGCTTCGAAATATCCCAAAGCGGATATTCCTAAGAAACCCCTCAAGGTGTAAATAGCTCAACATGCTTCATCTCGAGATTCAAATTCCCAGCGGAAGCTCCTGATATGGAAATGCGCCTCGATGGAATCGACGGGGCTCAATAATCATGTTGCATCACAGCACGTTGCCGCCGCTAGTCTCGTAGTCGCCGGTCAAAAACAAAACCGCTTGTTCGCTGGCATATCGGCGTTATTTGCAGGAGAACCCACTCACAAATGTTTTCTGCTTCACCTCAACGCCTGGCGGTCCAGACGCAAGAGGGGTTCAAGGGTCCAGAGAGACATCGCCGAGTGCATCGCCGTGTCCTATCCCAAGAAGAGCAAAGACGAGGAGGGGGGAGTCATGAAGCAAAATCCCTCACTCATGAGGGATCCTCTTTTGCAGTAATTGACCCCCGCGCCGCCAATCTTTTCTGACAAACATAGTTTTTACCCAATGGGCTTGGTGTCTACCGATATCTGAGAACGAACATCGTTTAAAGTGCCGTTTTACTCAATGCAATGTGCTACGTTTGACATATTACTCGCGCTTATTGGTGAGGGAGGGGCGGCTGGTTTTTTATTTTATTTTTCTGTTGAAACAACATGTCGGTCAGCTATAGTCTAAGCTATGCGATCAATTAACGTTAGTCAGGAGATGGGGGTCTATCTCAAGAGCTGAATGATAGCGACCCAATGGCGATCTCCGCAGCCATGATAGAGGTGTTTGAGTGGTATATTCCGCCAGGAGATGGACGGTTGGAACCGACGTCGATGGCTTGGACTTAGGCTGAACCAAAAGCCAAGAAAAAAGACGTTGAGGAAGGGTTGATAGCTTGAAACGATAGATAAGACTCGTTTATTCCCTCGCGTCATAGACATGACTCTACTGAAGATGCAGGCTAAAACACTTGTCATGACATTCATTAACAGTATGGTAATGTCCTGCCTGAACAGGAAGAGGATAGTGAGAAGCGAAGTTGATGTGTATCATGCCAAGAGGTTTCTTAGCAGTATGCAATACTAAGACAAACCTCAACCCAATCGTAGCAGCATGCCTGGTAAGTTATTGACTGATTGGTCTTGCATTTCAGCCCAATCAAAGTTTGATGACTGTTGTTGAGACGTTACGAGCTCAGGTGAGGCCAATGCTTCCAAGGTGAGAGGGCGATACTTTATTCGTTAGAAAATTAGGCGCTTTCAGACTCCAACTCTGTTGGCACCATCAAAATACCCTGCCACGACTCAACGAGTTGGTATTGAGTCAAGGGATGAGGTAACCTACCTTAGTAACTACGGTCAGCATTTGAGTGGCGGGGGATTGGCATTTGTTTGCGCGTTTCATGACACGGCCAATGCATTGGATATGATAGCCCACTCTGAGATTTGGCTAATATAAACATAAATCAGCAAGGTGAGGTACAGATAAATTGCCGATTTGGGGTTGGGAAGTACAGTTCGTAGAGGGGAGAGCTACTGTCGGATGCTGCAGTAGCGGGCGGAGTGCTTTGCCCCGAATGTGCCGCTGTAACTAAACGGTGCTGATGGATGGCAAAAGCAAAGCCACCAAACAACCAAGCGCGATAGCGGGGTCGAGTTTGGTGGGGGAACAGAAAATAGCTACGCGGCTTGGACGAGGGCGGGCAAGACAGTGGCTTCAAATTGGATATTTCGAGAATATTGGCATAGTAATATACAGATTTATATTACTTTTTACCTATTAAACTAGAGCTTTAGACCATCGTGAGCATATAAATCAACTCCAAAGTCAATTCATACACTTCAAGGCCTGTAAGCTTGCATCTCACGGGAAGCGGGGTGCAAGGAACAGCTCCCCATAATTCCTGAACCAGATCGCCAGAAAAGAAAAGAAAAAAAAGAAAAAGGCGAAAAAAAAGCTCTCCATATCTCAACCACAGCGACAGCCCAGAGCTCAGACACTTTAGCCAAAGCGGGCTATGAATTCACCGTACTAGGTACATCTGAGGCAAGTACTCCGTAGCGCTACTCCATGCTTGGCTCTTACCCCTCCAGTCATGATGGCTGTGATTTCTCGGTGAGGTACAAATCTTTGTTGATTGGGGAGGCAAGAGTAAAGTACCTAGCCCCCTGAAGATTCGCTGTACCTTACTGAGCTGCGCTGTGCCAACTGGGCTGGGCTCTCCCGTCTTTTATTATTATCATCATCACCACACCAAAATTCTTCCTCTCTCCCTCTTCTTCTCTTTTTTTTCTCTTCCTTCTCATCTCTCAACCCTTTTCTCACCAACGACAAAAACAGATTTAGTGCCATCCCGCCCCCTTACGCTTCGACCTTTGCGAGCTCCCTCCATCGAACGTCGTCAATAAATAATACCAGGAAGAGTGTGCACGTTCCTCTGCCTCTCTGACCACATCATCCTTCTGGGTTATTATCGTACGGTGCAACATTCGTACAACAAAATCCATATACTCCTGTAAGTCAACATGCTGCCGCTACTGTTGCTGTTGCTGCACATGAATGGAGACGACTGCTAGCTGTGGCTTGGGCCTTTGGGGTTTCGGCTACCGGCCCTCCAAAAAATGATGGCGATAGCGATATGGAGGTGTGGCATATACCCGTCTTTGCAGATGCGCTTCTGGCTTTTGGGTTGCAGTAGCAGTCCAGAAACACTGGATTTCCCCTGCGACCCATTAGCAGTACGAGACGACTCGGTTCTTCTGGCCCGATTAGCGATTATCTGACGATTCTGTACTCGGCCCATCTATTGAGCTCATGGGTCGTCTTTTGTCCTTCTCACCAACCAAGCCAGCCAGACTGTGTCGCACCGACTGCTCTGCCCACCGAGAAATGCCACGCCCCATTGCTATCGCCTTTCCCACCACGTCACTTAACGTCAGATCAGATCCACGTTAGCCCCATGTACTTGCCTACAGCTCACGGATACATCCCTGTTGGCCTGCATAGCAAGTGCCCGCAGAACGACCTGATCTTTCTGCTCTGCTTCTTGTTGGCTGCTGATATCAGTTGATTGAGAGAGACATATATTTCCCGTCTTCTCCAACTGTTCGGGGCTGAATTCCTCACGTCTTCATTCTTTTTGCAGCAGAGCTACCCCGCCAAGCTCATCCCACCCACTACTCAACATTTGCTAATCACTTCTTTCACAATGGCTCAGAAACCCTCACACAAGCATTCCAAAAGCGTCATGGCTGCTACCGCTCAGGACCACCTCGAGTTCGGAGGCAAGATCTCATGGCTTGCCTCCCTCGACACTGCTTTCCGACCTCAGCGCAACTATCGCCGCTCCTCCATCATCTGCACCATTGGCCCCAAGACCAACTCTGTTGAGGCCATCAACAAGCTCCGAGATTCCGGTCTTAACGTTGTCCGCATGAACTTCTCCCACGGATCATACGAGTACCACAAGTCTGTCATTGACAACGCTCGTGAGTCCGAGGCTACTCACGCTGGTCGCAATGTTGCCATTGCTCTTGACACCAAGGGCCCCGAGATCCGAACGGGTAACACTCCCAACGATGAGGATATTCCCATCAGTGCTGGCCACGAGATGAACATCACCACCGACGATTCTTATGCCACTGCCTGTGACGACAAGAACATGTGAGTACAATAAAAACCAATGTAACTCCTAAAGCTAACTCTTGCAGGTACGTCGACTACAAGAACATCACCAGTGTCATCGAGCCCGGCCGTGTCATCTACGTCGACGACGGTGTTCTCGCTTTCGACGTCCTCGAGATCAAGGACGAGAAGACTATCCGAGTCAAGGCCCGCAACAACGGTGCTATCTGCTCCAAAAAGGGTGTCAACCTGCCAAACACTGACGTCGATCTTCCCGCTCTTTCCGAGAAGGACAAGGCTGATCTCAAGTTCGGTGTCGAGAACAATGTCGACATGGTTTTCGCCTCCTTCATCCGCCGCGCTCAGGATATCCATGACATCCGTGAGGTTCTCGGCGAGAAGGGCAAGCACATTCAGGTCATCTCCAAGATTGAGAACCGACAGGGTCTCAACAACTTCAAGGAGATCCTCGAGGCCACTGATGGTGTCATGGTTGCCCGTGGCGATCTCGGTATCGAGATTCCCGCTGCTGAGGTGTTTGCTGCCCAGAAGAAGCTCATTGCCATGTGCAACCTCGCTGGCAAGCCCGTCATCTGCGCTACTCAGATGCTCGAGTCCATGATCAAGAACCCCCGCCCCACCCGTGCTGAGATCAGCGACGTCGGTAACGCCATCACTGATGGTGCCGACTGTGTTATGCTTTCTGGTGAGACAGCCAAGGGTAGCTACCCCTCTGAGGCTGTCAAGGAGATGCACGAGACCTGCCTCAAGGCCGAGAACACCATCCCCTACGTCTCTCACTTCGAGGAGATGTGCACTCTCGTCAAGCGACCCGTCTCCACTGTCGAGTCTTGCGCCATGGCTGCTGTCCGCGCTTCCCTCGATCTCGGTGCTGGCGGTATCATTGTCCTCTCCACCTCCGGAGAATCGGCCCGCATGCTGTCCAAGTACCGACCCGTGTGCCCCATCTTCATGGTCACTCGAAGCCCCACAACATCTCGATTCGCCCATCTGTACCGTGGCGTGTACCCCTTCCTGTTCCCCGAGA